GGGGAGGGCGGGGGAAAAGTCACTTTAAGGACCTCTGCTAAGGAAAAACAAGTGCATTTTTTTGGATGGGATGCAATTTTCTAGAACGGTATTACGCTGAAGAGTATAACGTGCACCATTAAAGAAGGGAGGGGGCAAGAGAGACCAGTATAAATCAGTGAGGCATACTCCTGCAGTTTATTTTTATAAAGCCAACTACCATGATGTTTTGTAATTTTTGGTCATGATTTCACCGTTGTTGGTGAAGCAGATTTTCAATAAATATGTTATCTATATGAAGCAAAGACAATGTGCTAAGTGGCTCTTCTTTCCACTGGCAGTCACAGAGAGCAAGTTGTTGAGTAGAGGAGATATTCATGTCTCCCCTCTTCCCACCATATCTTTATCCTTACCAGCAGCATCCCAAGCTGCAAACTTTCCTTTGGATCACCAGCTGGGCAGTTGTACAAACGGTGCTTGGCCTGAGTGAGCACGAGGTTCTGGAAACCTTCAAAACGCAGAAGCTTGTGGTGAGAAGAGTGCTCCCAAAGAGCTGAATAAACAACTGTCCTGGGGATGGCACCTGACAGCACAGTGTGCTGTGTCACAGAGCCAGAAAGCTGGTGTCCTTTGGTTGGTCCTGCCTGAAAGCCTGTGACTTGTCATTGACTTCAGTAAGTTGCCCCTGTCCATGCGCTGCTGGTTAACGTTGCCATCACTGAAATAGCTTCTCTCTTTTGTAGCAGAACTGTGAGGTTTTCCCTGCCAACTGCTGCTATCACTGCTCCACATGAGCACCTTTTCCCAGGAGGAGCCAGGAGCTGGTGTCTGCTTCTGTTGGTCAACAGAATCACAACTTGGGCAGGTAAGTGCTCTGCACTGGTGAAGGGTCTTGGGTGAGCTCTTGGGCAGCCCTGGGCACAGCTGGAGAAAGAGAAGGTGACAGGGTCAGCCCTTCTGGGTGGTCTGACTGCACCCATCCTGTTAGGGCTTATGATCCTGGATGGTGGTGCTGGGCCTTGGAAAGGGCACTGCAGGAGAGAACATTCCTCTGTGTAAGCTGGGACAAGCCTTTCAAGGGGTGGCTGTGGATAGGGTTTGCCAGTGCATGAGTATCCTTCAAAAAGGATTTGGAAAAACCCATTTTCCCTAACCTGGAGAGTGGTGGGTTTTTCCAGCATGTCTCTTCTGAAGATGAGGATGCACTCAGTGCAGGAAGAGTCAGAGTCCTGTTGCTATGCCAGAGAAGGCACTGAGCTTTTGCATTGGAACCATTAGTTAGAAGCTCGCTGGGGCTGAGGAGATGGTCCCAAGGTTGGGCTGCTTGTGCCATCCCAATGGGATTGGAGCCTGTTGCTCCTCTATCTTCAAACATGGCCCTATGATGGCAAGGGAGAGGTATTGGGGTCTCTCATAGGGCCAACCAGCAGCAGCTCTGCAAGTCATCCAGGTTGCAAAAGATCTCTCAGTAAAGGTGTGAAATCTCAAGGGCCAGACCTCAGAAAGGGTTGCAGGTAGCAAAGTGTAATTGTGGCTGGTGTTTTTATTTGTCCAAAACGAGGACTGTCCATTTGCATTTCTGTACCTTTGACAGTCTTCAAAGACAATAATGTGGAAAACATATCAACAGCCCCTTTTCCACCTGCCAAGAGGACACAGCAGCAGGTAAAGCTGCCAACCCACAGGGACCCTTGGGTTACAGCTTGCAGCTCAGGGACTGGAGCACCCAGATAAATGGGAGAAAGAGGGGGAAATATAAGCGAGGGAGCCCAGAGCCACTGAGCAGAGAAGCCGCCTGGGGCTGCTGTGCCATCGGGGGAGAGGAGCTGCATCCCTTTGGTCTGAGGTCCTCTGATCCATCAGGGGGAGCCTGGAAAGCTGTCACTGCTCAGGTCAGTGCTAATGAGGAGTCTTGCTCCTCTCATTGCAGCACTAATGAGAGATTAGAGCCCCACTGCAGCCGTGAAACCAGAGTCAAGCTGTATCAAAGCCCCAGTCCGAATTAAGAGCCTTTCCCAGTGGCTGGTATTTTACAGCCCAGTGGCCAATTTCTAAGTTGTAAAGGCCAATTATTTCTGAAGCCTTTGGTGTGCAGCTAATGAAGGCCTGGAAGGGCCCTTCTAAGTGGTTATAAGCCCCGTAGGCGGCAGAGATGTAATGGAGGTGGCAGGCACAATTAGCCATCCATAATTCCGCCGAGCAGCTGATTAAAGTCTCTTTATCCGTCTTACCGAGATCAGAAGGGCACATATTTGGGAAATCAAAAATGTATTAGAGGCTGTCAGCCAGGGTCTGTGTCCTGAGCCCGGGGCAGTGGCAGG